TTGAGAGTTTTTGGTTAGGGGGAGAATTTGTGGGTCACAAGCTTGATATGTTATCACTTTTGTGAACCTCCCATGTATTCCGAGTGAATTGGTTGAGGTTATTTCTCTCTGTATTTTGTACTCTCATATTTATAGTCGCTCATCTCCTTTGTTGACGTAGGTCGATTGACCAAATCACGTTAAATTTTTGTGTCTTTTGGTATATTTCAAGTTGCCTTCTTACTCGTGGTCTTTTGAGGTTTGCTTTGCTAGCTTCCGCGTTTATACCTGCTTATTTTTTATCCTAACATGGTTCACTTATGGGCGTTAGATTCCATGTTGGACATATCTAACTCATTTTTCATTTCTTTAAATGCCACATGGAATTGCCATGTCATTTTGACCTACCACATAAATTTATATGAAAATAGAAAGATATTCGAACTCATAAACACCTAATCCGACCCATAAATCAGCTCCTTTTAAATTCACTATCCGACCCATTTTTAACAATTTTGTTTAATTTTTATTATTGCGGTAAATTCCAAAAATGAGTAATTGATTAATAAAAAATAGGAAAATATGAAAAAAAAAATTATCGCCAAAAACTCACAAATAAATATAGTAACCTTAAATCTAACATTTCAATTTTTTTAATTTTTTTTTATTTTTAGATAAATCTCGAAAATGAGTAATTGATTAATAAAAAATATGAAAAGTATGAAAAAATATATATAAATTAACGCCAAAAGTTCACAAATAAATATATTAACATTTCAATCTATAAATTTTTTAAATTTTTTGATAAATCCCAAAAATGAGTAATTTATTAATAAAAAGGGAAAAATATGAAAACAAAATAAAATATATACGTCAAAATTCACAAATAATTTTTTTTATTTTATATTTTTTTTCATATTTTCCTATTTTTTATTTGTGAAATTTTCTGCGTAATTTTTATATTTTTTGTTAATAAACTCATTTTTGAATTTGTCAAAAAAATTAAAAATTAAAAAAATATTGAAATTGTTGAATTTAAGGTTACTATATTTATTTTTTTAATTTTTGGCGTTAATTTTATATTTTTTAATACTTTTAATTAAACAATTACTCATTTCGGAATTTATCGAAAAAAATAAAAAATTTAAAAAAGTGTTTAAATTGAATTTAAGGTTTCTATAATTATTTATGATTTTTTTGCATTAATTTTCTACTTTTTTTTCTTCATATTTTCCTAATTTTTTTATTAATCAATTACTCATTTTTGGAATTTATCGAAAAAATAAAAATTAAACAAAAATGTTGAAAATTGGTTGGATAATTTATTTAAAAGGGGGTTGATTTATGGGTCATATTAGGTGTTTATGAGTCCGAATATCTTTCCATTTTCATATAAGTGTTATGTGGTAAAGTTAAAATGACATGACAATTCCATGTGACATTTAAAGAAATAAAAAATGAGTTGGATATGTCCAACATGACAACTAAAGCCCATAAGGGCATATTTGGACCAAAAGTTGAATGGCGAGGGCATCAGTGAGCCAAACTTTAAACAGAGGGCATCTCTAAACCTTTTCAAATAGTTTATGAGCATATTTGACCCTTTTCCCATCTTTAAATGCTTTATGTGAAAAAGAAAAAATTATTCATGAAGTAACCCGACCATATTCATCTGAGTCTTATGGAGTAGTTGAAAGAAAAAATAGAACTTTAAAAGAAATGATAAATTCCATGTTAATTAGTTCTGATGCTCCTGACAAATTATAGGGTAAAATTATATTATATGCATGTCACTTACAAAATAGAATTCCTCATAAAAGAACAGACAAAACTCCTAATGAATTGTGGAAAGGTTATAAGCATAACTTGAAATATTTAAATGTGTGAGGGTGTCTTACTAAAGTTCTTTTGCCTGAACCTCAAAAAGAGAAAAACAGGTTCTAAAACTACTGATTGCATGCTTATTGTATATGCTGAACATAGTGGTACATATGGATTTCTTGTGTTGAAAACTGATGTGCTTGACTGCAATACTATTATTGAAACAAATGATGCTGAATTTTTGAATATATTTTTTCATTAAGTGATAAAATTTCTCATGCACCTATCATGAGAACACCTCGAATAGTGAGGAACTTTTCAGATTCTAAGCTTTGGAAAGAGGCAATAAAAATTAAAATTGATTCAATTATGAAAAATAAAATATGGATTTTGACTGACTTACCTCCTTCTTGGTGCAAAACCTATTGGTTGTACATAAATTTTCAAAAAGAAACTTGATCCTGATGTATCTATAGATAAATATAAAGATCGGTTAGTAGCAAAAGGATTTTCTCAAAAATAAATATTGATTATTTTGATACTTTTGCACCAGTGATCAGAATTTTCTCTATTCGAATTTTAATTGCCTTAACATCTATTCACAAGCTTTTTATTCACCAAATGAATGTAAAAACATCTCTCTTAAATGGTGATTTAGAAGAAGAAATGTATATGATTCAACTTGAAGGATATATTATTCTTGGACAAAAAAATAAGGTTTGCAAGATAATTAAATCTCTTTATGGCCTAAAACAAGCTCCTAAACCGTGGCATGAAAGATATCAAGTCTTGTTGAAAGATATTTTTAGCTCAGTTGAAGTGGATAATTGTGTTTATACCAAAATTGTAGACAATGATTATGTGATAATATGTTTATATGTTGATGAGATGCTTATATTTGGTACAAGTTTAAATATTGTGAATAGTACTAAATTATTTTTGTCTACTAATTTTGATATGAAAGATATGGATGAAGGAAATATGATTTTGGGAGTTAAGGTAATAAGGAGCAAAGATGTATAATGTTGTCACAATAACATTATGTGAAAAGACTTCTTAAAAAGTTTGAATGTTTTGAGGTGATACTTGTAGCAACTCCTTATGATGCTATCTCTAAATTGAAAAAGAATTATGGTGAACCAGTTGCTCAGTCTAAATATGCTCAAATTATTGAAAGTCTATTGTATTTGATTAAATTTACTAGGCGTGATATTGCCTATGCTATTTATAGATTGAGTAGATATACTCATACTCCCAATAATGAGTATTAGTATGCGTTGAATAGACAGATGAAATATTTGAGAGGAATCTTGAATTATGGTACCATGAAGTCAGAATGAAAATTAATTCTTCACACCTCAATAGAAATGGGTTTAAGACCAATTGATAGTAACTAGACATAGGAACACAACCTATGTGATTGTAGATCCCATGAAGTAGGTTCATATGAGTAATTAATAACAAGTCGATATTCGCTGCGTGCACTAATCGAGAGTGTTTGAAACTGCTACTAAAAATGAGAGATGAATTATTAACTTTCAATGAATTCAAAGTCCTTAATTAAAGAAGATGTATTTAAAGCAGTATACACTTGATGAGTTCACCTATATGAGAAGTGGAGTGTGACCGCTCCTAGTCTCTGGATCTCTCATGAATACTAGACACACTCATTGCCTATTGGCGTAAAATCGCGTTGAATAATAAAATTACTGTGGACAAAATGTGATTAGTAAAGACTTTGATTTAGAATAAGAATTATTGATTCATAGAAATATGATATTTCACCGGTAATTCTGTAAATTAAATTTTATCGATCTAAGTTTGGTTCATTGTCCGAAAGACACCAAATCTATTATATTTTATCTTATAAATCCAGTAAGTTATATTTTCTTCGTATAAAATCTTTTGAAATAAGTGAAGAATTGTAAGCATAATATATGAAATATTTTATTTATTTCAAAAGATGTTTTTTTTTTGAGATAAATTGTTTTAAGGTGTTTGAGAGGATTTGTGTTGCTTGGGGAAATGGCAACTTGGCCGGTTATTTCTCTTGAAACAATAACTTGGCTGGTTGTCTCTTGAAGCAATTTTGATACTTGTCAAAATTGGAGCTCACCTTTTGGCCTATAAATAGGCTTTAACTTTCACTCTAAAAATATACAATTAATACTTCTTTGTTTTGTTGTTTCTCTCACTCTCTCGTTCTCTCCTTTATTCTTTATCCTCTTCTAATTTAATAGTAATTTCTATTAATCCTATAATAACTTGCTAATGTATTAATTTGTTGATTTCCGTATCCTCTATTTAATATAGAGAAGTGCTTGTTTAATTCTGGAAAATATTTCACACTGTTGAGATGGTTTCTTAGGACAGTGTCCAACACGACTCAAATATTAATTTTATACATTAATATTATATTCTATCATTATAGTTATTTTCACCTTATTTTCACGATTATTATTTTATTAAATAATAAGTTATTAAATACTATTATTGTAAAAAATTAAAGTTATTTCCCAACAGAAGCAACAATAAACAGCGTAAATTGAGAATATTGCTTGAAGAAGAAGCAAAACAAAGTTGAAGAAGAAGCAAAAAAGAAAATGTAACTACACACAATTAGTAAATATAAATCCCTAAATTGAGACTATGAAATTATGGAGAGAAGTTTGGGACTCCAAATATTGTGTGAGATAATTACATTTTTGATTGACATATACGTTCAAAATTAAAGTAAGAAAGTTATCTTGATAACTGTAAAATTCGAAATTAAAGTTCGAAACTTTTTATTTTCTCTCATCTACGAAAATTAAAAAAAGATTTAATAGAATATGTTATCACTCGTAAGCATATATAGAGTAATTTTTTAGGATAATTTCTTAAAACTATTTACCAAATAATAGGTGTATCTTTTTGTCTTTATCCAAATTCAAAATAAGGTTGGACACATTCAATTTATTCTTTGCTCATGCCCTCAAAATTTATAGTTAAATTATAGACATCAATATTTTTCAAGGATTAATTGAAGTGTGGAATGAATTGAATAAAGTAATTAATTCATAAAGAAAATATTTGACTTGACTTTCAAAATTCAAAAAGGAATTAAATTTTATATAATCTTCCTATTCATTCATTTAAATACAAAGACAAACTTGAAATACAATACAAACTTTGACATCTATCTCAAAATATATATTAAGTAGAGCTTATAGCATATTGCTCCAAATAATAAAGAGGACTTCCATTTTTATTTTTTTTAATTGAAAAATGGAGCAAACAATTGAGAATGAAATTGCTGACTCAAATGCAAAGAATGTAGAGTGGTTTGAAGAGTCTCTTGGAGTAGATCTCAAATGGTCTTTAGCCATAAACAGGTAATAAAACACTTGTAAAGTACATAAAGATTTTAATTAATTTGTAAAAGAAAAAAAAGTGTAACCATCAAATGTTGTAGTGTCTTGTACAAAGCAACCACCAAGTTTCAAGATGTGACACTTTTAGACACAAAGCACTTTGGAAAGGTTAGTTGGCTATTGAAATTTTTGTATGCTGTTTTTTTTTTTAAGAATTTTCTAAGAAATTAATATTTTGTGTGTGATGTGTATATATTAATTTTTATGTAGGTTTTGGTGATAGATGGAAAAATGCAGAGTGCTGAAAAAGATGAGTTTATATACCATGAAAGCTTGATTCATCCTGCTCTCTTGCTTCACGACAAGTATACTACTCATCTCTTTTAATTTTATGTCTCTGGCTAGTGTACATTGTTTTTGCTTTTTTAATTTTTAATTTGATTGCTTTTTTAATTTTTAATTTGATGTTCGATACTCGATGAAAGTGCAAGAGGGAGGAGGGGTGAATTGTCTTCTTTTTATTTTCTTGTTGATTAATAGGATCTAGTAGTTGATAATATACAATACACATCTACAAAAATTACAAAGTACTGAAATTAAAAATGCTAAAGTAGAATTGATATGGAATGTTGTGCAAGAGGAGGGAGGAGGGGTAAATTGTTTTTTTTCTTGTCGATCCGGATCTAGTAATGTTGACAATATGATATATACCTACAAAATTAGAAAATACTGAAATTGAGAATGCTAAAATAGAATTGATATGAAATGTTGTACAAGAGGAGGGAGGAGGAGTAAATTGTTTTTTTTCTTGTCGACCCGGATCTAGTAGTGTTGACAATATGATATATACCTACAAAAATTAGAAAATACTGAAATTGAGAATGCTAAAATAGAATTGATATGAAATGTTGGACAAGAGGAGGGAGGAGGAGTGAATTGCTTTTTTATCTTTATTTTTTTATTTTCTTGATGATTAATATGATCTAATAGTTAACAATATGATATACACCTAAAAAATTAGAAAGTACTGAAATTGAAAATGCTAAAACTGGAATTGATATAGAACGTATCAACAGCTTCATTTTGAGAGTACCTTGCAATGATATGCTGATATCAATTGAAAATACAAAGAAGGGTGGGGTGAATAATTGCCAATTCCTTTTATTTTCTACTAGACTAATAGATGAAACAATATACCTATAGAAATTATAAAGTAGAAAATGATAAAATAGAATCGACACAAGATACATTTATGATAATTGAGATTCATGATGGATCTTAGTCCAATTTCCTTAAAATAGAGTTGACACAAGGTAAATCACCGCTTGAAAAATAGAGTTAGACACAAGATAAATTATGGCTTGATTTAAGGGTTGTTCTTATTTTTCTGCAATAAAGAGCTGCCGATCATTAAAACTCAGACACTAACATTAAGACTCATTAAATAGGAAAACTCTTTTTGTCAAAAAAATATGCTTAACTTTACTTAATGATAGACAGAGATCCTATTTATTCCATTAATACCCTTGGTAATTGTAATTTGTTTTTCATTTTTCTGCTCCATGAACATTTTTTTTTCTCTTTCAATTGTGGATATAATAATGAGCAGTCCAAGAAGAGTGTTTATCATGGGGGGAGGAGAAGGGTCAGCTGCGAGAGAGGCTCTTAAACATGACAACATTCTCAAAGTTGTCATCTCTGATATTGATCAAGTAATTATATCTCTTAAAACCTACCTTTTCTTTTCCTCCTTTATATATTCATACTTAGAAATTTTCTATGTACATAAGATTAGTGATAATTACCATACATATTCTTTTAAAATTTGTTATACATAGTATATTTTTTTATAAAATACCTTTGTATACGATAGAGATAATCTTACAAAAAATGTACCATTATAATTAATGTCACTCCTATTCATATAGATAGAATGTTATTATAAAGAAGTAAAAAATATAACATAAAAACATAATTCTAACAAAGATCAAATTGTTATAACAGTATTGCAAAATTTAACTTGTAGTAACAAGGAATAATATTGTGTATTTGCAGGAAGTTGTGAATATTTGCCGCAAACACCTTGTGGCAAATCAAGAAGCTTTTGCTGATAGTAGGCTTCATGTCATCATCAATGATGCCAAGTAAGCCTAAAATCATCTGTTTTTGTCTAATCATAATATAAAAAAAAATCTTAAAAAATATTTTAACTAAGCTTTTCTCTGTAACTTTTCGTAGGACAGCTTGGATCGAATTTTTCAGAAAATCAAATAAATTGTATATATAATGTGTTGGATTGATTTAATCTTCTTGATTAAGTTATTTTAGTTCAAATCAAACCAAACCAATTCAAGTATATTCGGATTTTTCCTTTTCAATACCAAATTAAGTCAAATCACACCACTAATTAGATTTTTTTTTTAAAAAAAATTAAGTCAATTTTTAATTTATTTTGATTTTATTTACCTGTTATATTTGTGCATCAGGGTGGAGCTGGAGAAGAGTGATGAGTATAATAAGTATGATGTGATAGTTGGAGACTTATCTGATCCAAAGGAAGGAGGGCCTTGCAATCATCTTTACCTTAAATCTTTTTACCAACATATTATTAAGCCCAAACTTAATCACAATGGAATCTTTGTCACTCAGGTTAATTAGCTTCTTTAATTTCATCTTAACAAGTAATTTAACTTAATTAATTATTGCTACTTGTTCTTGCAGGCTGGTTTTGCTGGAGTTCTCTCACATCAAGACTTTTTCTCATCAGTTTACAATACTGCTAAACAAGTCTTCAACCGTAAATACTATTCTCTCCGTTTTGATTTGTTATGAAATTTAAGAACTTTTTTTATTTAAATCTTCTGTTCTTAAACTAAAGACACGAATATGTCAAAGTAATAATTCGTAAATATTACTACACCATCTTTGTCATGCAGATGTTATAGCTTACACCGCTCATGTTCCATCTTTGGCTGATACACGTGGATGGGTTTTGGTTAGTCAATTTGAACTCCATAATTAATTAGTCTATCCCTTAATTAATTTATCAATTGAATTCATAATCAATAGCTTAATTATCCTACAGGCTTCAGATCAACCATTGAAACTAGATGCTGAGGTAATTAACAACAGGATTAAAGAGAGGATTAAAGGATCAGAGTTGCAATTTATTGATGCTGCTTTCATGCTTGCTTTTACCATTATGAACAAGACTCTTCATATAACGTAAGTCTCCATATTTCCAATTTACTTTATATAATTTAAAATATTTTTTTTGGATATATAATCGGATGTCATGTATATTTTGATTTGCTTACTTGTTAAAAACATTCAAAGGTTATATATTACTTTACTAATTTGTTTACTAAGGATTTTTGAGTTGTAATTTACGTAAGTGATTTGACAATATAAATAATTCAAATCAAGGGGTACTTAATCTTTTGATTCATTGTTGACAACATAATTGTTTTTTAGTACAAATTGCAATAAATATGTATATTTGATTTTTATTTTTTACTTTCCTTGTTGCAGGCTCATGAATGAGACTAATGTTTTAACAGAAGAGAATGACAAGTCCCTCCATGGCAATTGATTGCTTGCTGCTGACATCTACCAATAAAGTCTAAAAATTTAGTTAGTTTCTATGAACTCTCTCTCTCTATATATATATATTATGCGCTAACAGATGATAAATTTTTCTTTAAGCAGTAATATTTGTTGTCGCAACAATATTTAGCGGTAATTAAGTTGATACTCTTGTATCCAGAGTCACTAAAATCTTTAGTGACATTTATAAAGAGTGTTGGTCATTTATATTATTACTAAGTAGAATATATTGACATTTGTATTATTAGCGGCAAAATTCTTTTTATTTAATTTGTTACGTTGTATCCATGCAAAATACACAAAATATTTTCACAAATTTGTACATCGGACAAGCGATCTTTTCAGCGTTTAGAGTTTTCTGTAGAGATTCCAAGTCATATATAGGACTTGCTTGGACTTGGGATGAGCTCACTGAAGAAAGAAAACGACCATTTCCAGAATGTCTTGGATGACAACAATACAGTCGACATCATCATTCTACATAAATTGTGCTACTGCTAATACTAGTGAAATATGCTAATACTAATATCATCAGTCTAAATATATTGTGCATCATTCAAAGGTAAACCATATTAATATCATATATAAATTTTATTAGAGATCATGTTGAAAATGTTGATTTTTTAATTAGAATTTGAGGATTTTAAAAGCTAATCAGCTGATATGTTTACAAAATTCCTACTTGAAGAAAAATGTTTCCTTTGCAATTGTCTCGATTTTACTTCTTACATAAAGCAGGTTGAGGTGACTAAAATTGAAGGCAAACGAATAGGTGAAGACTATTCATATGTAACACCCCACAACTAGAAAGAGGTAGAATTAGAAAGAGTCAACTTTTTTTGGAAAAAAAAAAAGGAAACTTGGTTAAGTTTGAGTTTGAGTTTTTGGTCAATTTCAAATGATCATAACTCCTAGCTCATGAAGAGTTACGTGCGTTTCCTGATATCGTAGGAAAGATCTTGGAACAAATCTTTCCAACGCTGCTGAGTTTCTGCGATTCCGAGTTCTTATGAGTGAGATATGCCCTTTGAAACTTGGGTTATTTGAATAAGGAAAATCCAATCCGAATTTTGGAAGGGTATTATGGTCTTTTCAATACCATATTATTTTAAATCATTTTGGTGAATTAATTAAAGGTGAAAACTGAATTGGTTCAGTTTAGGCAAATAGAGATTTACGCTAGAATTTTTGGAGAAAGAATGCAAGAGGAGAAAAGAGGAGAAAGAGCAAACTTCGTTGTTCTTGAAGGTGTAGCTAGTGAATTTTGACAAGGTTTGATCCCTAAAGAGGTATGTGAGTCGTGAGTTCGTTCACCCACGCCGCCAAACATATTTATTTCAGCGAAGTTCGTTCTAGAAAGTTGAAAAATTGATGAATCTTGAATGGTGTTCTTGATTTTTTTTTTGAATTGGGCTGAATTGAGAAGTTTCTGAAATCTTTACGTCGAGTTTTAGTGTTATTCTGAGTTAGATTCATGGTACATATGCTGGGTATCTGAATCTAAAGAGATTTTGAGAAGAAAAACCGAATTTAGGCAAATTAACGAAGAAGGAACAAGTCGGGCAAATCTGGGTACCAGGACCACATCGCGAATCTGTTTCTCAGGATTGAAAAAGTTGTGTTTGCGTCTTGGAGCAGTCACGGAGCGTTCTGCCTCAAAAGTTATTCCGCAACCTAATATTTTAATTTATCTCCACGTCGCGGAGTAGATTCCCAACAATGATTTCATGATCGTTTCTCACAATTAACTATCTAGAATCACTCCTAAACATCATGAGATCTTTCCTATCACAAATTGAATTTCAATCCTTGAATCCATAATTCAATTCAAGAGAAGTTAAGAGTCAAGTCAAGAGAAGTTAAGAGCCAAGTCAAGAGTAGTTCTTAGAATCTTCCAAAAGTCTTTTACAAATGATTTAACTTTGTTTCCAGACTTAAATTTTGAGTTCAGTAAAGAGTAAAGTCGAAGTTCATTTCTTCAAAAGTATACAGGAACGATATATTCCCAAAGAGTTTAAAATGTTTTCACATTTAAAAAAGTAAGGAAACTTTAATTTCCAAAAGAGCTTTTGAGTTAGTTTTAAGTAAAAAGCCTTTGAATTATTGGTGTTTGACTCTCTTTGAACTAGTTTTTTTAGTAAAGAGCTTTTGAGCAAGTTTTGTTAGTACATAGTAAATGTTTTCACACTTAAGAAAGAGAAGAAATTGAGATTTCTAAGATAATCTTTGAGTTAAGTTTTGAGAAATTATCTCAAACCATAGAAAGAAGTTATGTTTTTGAACATAAAGAGCTAATATAATTTGGGAGTACTATTAAGCACTGATATGAGGGAGAGTTTAGAAAACTCCGAGTCGCCATAAACCATGTAGCCACCATGGGTAGAAAAGGGTTATACTTTTTAGATGATTCCTTTAGTGCCTAGACTAGTGGATCCACTCAGTATTTCAGGTTCTATGCTCATTGCAAGGTATAGAACAGTCCTGACAGCGTGAGGCAAAATATTGTATAATCATGATAGCTCTTATGTGATGATTGTCGATTAGAGAAACTCCCACATCAAAATTTTATATTTTTATACACATCAACATTATTTGTATTTTTTATATACATCAACATTATTTTTATGTTTATTTTTATATTGAAATCAGTTCAGTTATGTTGAGTTGAGTTGAACCAGGTAAGTGTTTCTCTCATGTAACTCCCCGAGCTTACACACTGGGCGTGGCTGACACTCAATGACTATTGTTGTCCTCGAGCGGACACTTGGTTAGGCTTACTTAACTTAGCGGAAGACCTAAATATAAGAAATATATATACACACACACACACACAAGTAATAAGCCCAAATGGCAATGTCAAGTCTTTAAACAAATGTAAAGACAACAGAACTACTAAATATCTATGAAGCCTCTAAAAACAAATGAGATGGATGTTGGGAGAAATCTCACAATATCCTAATAAACTAAACCAGAAAACAAATGAAATGAGCCCTCCGGAATGCAAGGAGGCTCACTACTGACTCTGGAGTGCTAAATTAGATCAATGGTGCGCTGGATGTCGATCCTCGTCATATGCGTCTGTATCATAATACGATGTAAAGCAACTGACATCGGTACATTTAGCGTACTAGTATGCGAGTTTAAATGCTAAACAACAAAAGCTAGAAAGATTCTCAAGGAAACAGAAGAACTTACCTGGCTCAACTCAACTCAACATAACTGATCATTTCAAGATAAAGCAATTAAAAAAAACAAGTGCAATATAAAGAAGGGAAAAGCGTCTGATATACCCGTCAGCTTTGTCATCTAAAGCTGATATACCCCTTGTTATGAAAGTGACTCATATATACCCCTACTTATAAACAAATGACTCACATATACCCTTTTCCTCTAATGAAACTGAAAAAAAAATCTAATTTTTTATTTTTTTATAAAAAATATGATCTCATATGAGTAAATTTAGTCCTCGTCAATTTTTTTTATTTTGACTTTCTTTTAGATTTTAATGACTAATTTAGAATTATTATTTTGATAATCAAATTTATTTATGTTTCACTAATATTTTTGTAAAGCTTGTTGTAGATGACAAAAAACAATCTTTGAATACAAAAATCAAATTACAATATAGAGAAAAAAAATAGTTTAATTTTTTTCTTGAAACTAAGGAATGAAAGGAAAAAAAAAATAAGAATAAGAAACTCAAATAATTATAATAAAAGAAGTCAAAGAATAATTTATGTATGAAAAAAATTAAAATATACATTGAACTTTGGTAAAAGAATCATATATAAAAAAAATTAAAAGTAAAAAAATATTATTAAAAACTAATTTTCTAACTTATGTGAAGGTATATGTGAGCTCATTTTGTAACGGTAGGGGTATATGTGAACCGTTTGTACAACGGCAAGGGCATATATGAGCCACTTTGATAACGGAGGGTAAATCAGTTTCAAATGACAAAGTTGAGGGGTATATCAGACTATTTTTCCTATAAAGAAAAACTGTTTAAAAACATGTTGTAAATCTTGTATGTATGCAAGGATACAATTAACTCAGAAATGTATATAAGAATACAAGTAAATATATATATATATATATATGAAAGAGAGATATGGAAAAACATGAACAATGAGATTTGCAGATTTTGATTTTTTTTAAATAAAAATAATTTGGAAAACTTGAACGATGGATATACATGGAAATGTAAATAAATAAATTTTTTAGGAGATAAAATAGGGATTTAACTAGGATACATATTCTTTTTTCATTTTAACTAATATTTTTAAAGTAGTGAGTTTTTTTACTAATTAAATTGTTGATTTTGATTGGTTTGCTTATTTTTCCTATTTTGAAACAACATAATAACTTTGTTAAGACTTGAAGAAACAAAGTAATTTATTTTGAGAGAAAACAATTTATTTTTATCTTTTTAAAGTATCTCGAATAACTAAATGTGTTTCTAAGTATCTAATGTCAAGAATAAGTAAATCGCCAAACTTGAAATAAATCCCAAAAAACACATACAATAATAATTAATAGTCTCAAAGAGTAAATGACAATGGAATAAGAGGTTATAGACATTCCCCAAGCAATTCTTGCTTGTTTTTCTTGTTGCCGGACATATTTACAGAAGATGTAATTGGAAGATATTATGCGGGAATGGAGAGTCTTGATCAAGACTCCATGGTTTGCTCCAAAATGTTCATGCACATAAAAGATAAAAGATAAAAATTAGCGTAAGTAAAATAAATAAGACAAATCGAATATCAAAAATTCTTTTTGATTAGCATGTTTTGTTGATCATGATATGTACTCAAACACCAAACAAAAAAATAGACAAATCCACATATATTTGTGCATATGAACAAACGTACATGGCATAATCTTACTTGGACCAAATAATACTCAATCACATAATATAAAAATAATAAAACATCTTGAATCAAACTAACTGTGATTTCCTAAGAATTAGAATCATGCTTATACGACTAACAAATTCCCAAACATGGAAGAATGGATAGGAGGAACATTTGATACTAATTATTTTACTTAGACATGACTGAAGATGATCTCCAAATTAATATTTAGACTTGATTAATAATTTGTATAATTCAACAGAGAGGCAATTCTAAGAGGCTCAAACAACCATTTTATGAAACGCTTTACCCAACTTCCAACGACTTATCTCAAGCTCGATTGCCTAAACAATAAGAAGCAGAAAAGAGGATTATATAAACGCACAAATGGATGGTTTAGTAAAATAAAAAAAT